GTCAGCCTCTCTGCTCCTATGATGCTGCTGGGCCTGCTGTGTTCACCCAGCCCTGCACCTTGTTGTCTCGGATTCTCCAGCATCTGCAGTTCCTACTATCTATGTTGAGAGAGAAACAGGTTGACATTTCAAGTCCAGTATGACTCTTCTTCAGAGCTGGAAATTTGTGAGTTTTACGCTGTTGACAAAGTGGGGATGTTCTCCACAGATTCTGCCAGACCCACCAGGTGTCTTCAGCATTTTCTGTTTTTATCTTGGATATTTAATCTCATAGTTGAGAAGCACTGATACGTAGACTGCGATAATACAAAGGTCGAACTGAGGCCGAGTTGGGCTGAGGAATAGTGAAGCAAGAGGCAAATAGGAAGTTTGAAAGCAGTGATGTCCAGGGAATCAGGGGAAGGTGAAGAAATATGCAGTGTTTTCTTGTTGAGTGTTGATGCATCCGTAGTCCTGGACCCTGACAGTCTGCTCAGGATTAACCGGACAGGATCCACCCTCTCATTTTTCAGCAGGTTTTGGAGGATGCTACATGCTGACCACTTCCTGATGTATTATTAAGCTCCCCACACTGAAATCTCATTTAAAGGTTTACTGATGCATAGTGACAACCTGTGGCTCACTCTCACCAGCTGGAGTTAAGTTTAAATTGCACCTTACGAATTAAATTCAGCGTAATTTTAAGATACAGGGGTAAGTTGCGACAACATACTGCATCACTGGGGCAGAATAACAGGACAGATGAGAAATGGGGAAGCTTATGTTTTGTTTCTACATAAATTCAGTTCGAGATGTTTTTCGGGGTTATTCAGATTTCTCAAAACCGAGTGTTGGTCCGAAAGTTGTCGAATCTGCAGGGAGCATTTCTCGCGTTGTAACTGGACCCTGAAGGTATTGGAGAAAACTGGAAGTAGGAGGAGAGTTCATGTGATGAACAAGGCGGAGCTTTAGGGGATTCAGCATGGTGTGACAAGTTACTGTGTGTACTGGCGAGGTTCAGCTGGGAGAGCGGTGAGTGTGTTCGTTCATTGATTCTTACGCAGGGTATCTGCATGCTGCCGGAGTCTGGGCCCGGTTGACGTTGCCTTTCGTTTGCAGCGAAATCCACATTGAAGCGTGCCGCCTCTCTGCAGGCAAAATACAGCATTTTGGTATCGTTATGCCACCTCTTAAAATGGACTCTCTTAAGAGGAAGTGTTGTAATTAGCAAACGAAATGTTTCAATCGGTCTGCAAAAGCGAAGGGCGGCGACCATTCCTGTTTTCCTGCAGACAAGTGGATGTTTAGATGTCCATCTAGTGGCGACTGCATACAACATCTTCCCTTTCTTTCCCCTCTATTAACAGTTTTTGTACAGTCTAGCACGGTTGTTCCACCTCCACACACATTGGCCTTTCCAAACAGGCTGATAATCCTTTTTTTAAAAGAACTCTGAATTAGGGGAGTGGGGAGGGAGGGCGACGGTAGAGGTCACTCATGTTCCTGATTTAGAGATGTCAAATCTCCAGGAGTTTTTTTTAAAAACTGATCTCCCCAGTAAGGAATTCTCGAAGGGATAGTGAACTGAAAACTGTGTCTATTTATAAATGGTCATTGAATACATTTTCTTATTCTGTTGAAACAAAAAGTATCCAGGATGGCAAAAGTGGCTGCTGACTAAAGTTTTTAGAATTGTCCAGTTTGATAATTGAGTCTGCCACTCCTAGAACAATAAAACAAGAATTGTTGAAAAAACTGGCAGTTCTGAAGAAGGGTCACTGGCCCCCAAACATTAACTTTGATTTCTCTTCACAGATACTTCCAGACTTGCTGAGTTTTTCCAGCAATTTCAATTCTTGTTTCTGATTTCTGGTATCTGCGGTTCTTTCGGTTTGCTGTCACTTCTCTATTGAATTATGAAGCTTGTGGGTCATGACTGAACATCCTGGTGGAGTTGACCCAGTGGCCGGGGGGGTGGGAGGTGGGAGGTGTGTGGTTGCCATGAAATGAAACCTCCAGGAATGTATCCTTAGAGTTGGCAACCCTACAACCTCACGCAAATAGAATATGGCTGCTGCATTCTATGGTGAGTAAAACTCAATTTTTTTTGTTTTGTGTGGCACCCTTGGTGTCTCTCTCTCTCTGTCTCACTCGGTCTGAGACTGCTACCTATTTTGTTTTGGGTTTGGTTGACATTTTGGTAAAACAAACAAAGGCAAGACTTATACAATTAAAAGTAGGGCCTTGGGTAATATTGTAGAACAGAAAGGCCTAGGGGTTCAGGTACGTAATTCTTTGAAGTTTGCATCACACATAGATAGGGTGGTTAAGAAGGTGTTTAGGGACACTTGCCTTCATTGCTCAGACCTTTGAGTATAGGATTTGGAATGTTATGTTGATGTTGTACAGGATGTTTGGTGAGGCCTCTTCTGGAATACTGTATCCAGTTCTGGTCTCCCTGATATAGGAAGGATATTATTAAGCTGAAGAGGGTTCAAAATAGATTTACCAGGATGTTGCCAGGAGTGGAGTTTTTGAGGTATAAGGAGAGCCTGAATAGGCTGGTTCTTTTTTCACTGGAATATAGGAAGTTGAAGGTGACCTTATCGAGGTTTATAAAGTAATGAGGGGTATAGATAAGGTGAATGGCAGGTATTTTTACCCTAGGATGGGGCATTTCAAGACTAGGGGGCATATTTTTATGGTGAGAGGAGAAATATTTTTAAAAAGATGAGGGGCAATTTTTTACAGTGTAGTTCGTGGAAGTGGTGGATGTTGGTACAGTTACGACATTTCTAAGATATTTAGATAAGTACATGAATAAGAAATGTTTGGACGGAAATGGGCCAGGACCAAGTCCAAGTGCAGGCAGGCAGGATTAGTTTAGTTTGGGATTATGGTCGGCATGGACTGGTTGGACCAAAGGATCTGTTTCCTTGCTATATGACTCTATGACAGATTGATTAGGGAGATATACTGAATGGAGTGACTGGAGATAGTTGCCAGACTTCTTTCATTTCTTTTGCATCTGCTTAAATAATTTGGTTGTAGTACTAAAACAATGCTTGCTAGTCATGAGATGGTGGGTGATTCAGCATGAAGAGAAGTTGTGTGCAATAATTTGGAGTTAGAACATTCCATTTGTAAAAAGTGGATGAGCTAAATGGGTGGAATGACCACCACCTCAGTGTTACCCTTTCTAAATATAATGACAATAAAAATCAGGAGCTGGAGTTGGCTATTCAGTCCCTCGAATTTGCTTTGATATTTAATAAGATCATGGCTGATGTGATTGTAACCTCCAATCCTCATTCCTGTCTATCTCCGATAACCTTTCACCTCTGCCTTAAAAAAAAAAGTCAAAGATTCTCCTTCCATGACCTTTTGAGGAAGATCCTTCCAATTACACTCAACCTTATGTTAGAAAAGTTTCTTGCCTCCACTTTTAATGGGCGACTCCTTACGTTTAAAAATAATGACCTCCAATTCTAGATTCTCCCATAAGAGGGAATATCCTTTCCACATCTATAATGTCAAGACCCCCTTGGGTCCTTATTTATTTCAATCAAGTCTGTCTTACTTCTCTAAACTCCCATGGATACAAGCCCAGCCTATCCAGCCTTTCATCATAAGATAACCCTCTCATCCCAGGCATTGGTGTGGTAAACCTTCTCTGAACCCCTCCAAACGCACTTATATCCTTTCTTAACTTTGGACAATGAAATAATCCCTTTCTTTGTGACAGTTTTCACCAACTGGAGTGATAATACTACGGCTGCCATATTACGACATGAAATCACTTCATGTAATTTTAATCAGTATCTTGCAGGTACAATTTTTGCAATGTAAAACTGAAATCAAATGTGCCTTCGTCAAAACCTACTGAGTGAAAAATGGTAATGTCAAACCGGTATCTCTTTGTGTTCAGCTGGGTGGCAGGAGACTTTTGCATCCCAAGATTGACCCTCTGAGTGCAATCATTTATCCTTTTTTAGGAAGGGGTAGATTGAGATGGAACCAAAGGCCATTTCTTCCAAAACAGTTTCCAGCTTCGCATCATTTTTCAATCAAATTAGCAATGGAATGTTGTGGTTTCTTTTTATCAACAGGAGTCCCATTGAGAGGCAGTTTGTTTACTATGTCCTGACAGAGGCTGACTGCTTTTAAGAGAGTGACTTGGTGCATGTAAATTCTCATCTGATCAAATGGCAATAGTGACAATTCTGGATCTTGGCTTTTAGCATTGGCTTGTGCACAAATGTTCCTGACATCAGTGGAGTTCCTTAGTCACACTGGCAGCTCCATTTGCACTATGTATTAGCTCTAGCCATGTTGAGACTTTATATGTGTTAGATTTGGAACAAAGTTGAGTTAATGCATATGTTGCAAAATGCACAAATGCAGAATTGGATGTGCTTGTAATGCAAAGAGTTAATGAATTATAGTGCACACACACACACACATATTGCTGGTGCTTTAAAGTAAATTATTAAAGATTACATATTAAAGTAAATAGCTGCAGTGTCTTCTTGAGAATACTTGTCAAAGTACAGCATATCTGTCGCCATCCAGTGTTTTTACAAAGAGTTGATTTAAAAAAATGGTCTGAAACATTTATTTAAATGCTTGTCCTCTTGTTTTCTCTACTTCCCCAGGAGAATTATGGGAGGGACAGTATCTGTCGATGATAGCTTCCACGTTGTGATTGTTGGCGGTGGCTTTGGAGGGATTGCAGCAGGAAACCGTTTGAAGTCATACAACGTTCCATTCACGTTGATCGATGTGAAAGATGCTATGCATCACAATCCGGGAGCACTCAGAGCATCAGTGGAAAGTGGTGTGTTAGCGGAAAACTAATCAGTATGTTAAATGTGAGACTGAGCTGTATGCATTCCGACAGTAATATTGTATGGAAAAAAGGGGACTGTGGCATCATGGGCATGAAATTAGCTAAATGACAGGAAATGGAGTAGTGATTAACAGCTATTTTTCAGATTGGAGGAAGGTGAATTTAAGGATCCTTACTATTTCTGATTATATATTATTCTAGAATAATGCTGAAAAAAAGACACATTTTGTAAAAACTTTGTCATCAGGATGGTTTAACACTACCAACCAAGGGGAGATAATGAATGAGAAGTAATTGGTAGAAATATTGCCATGAAGCTCGCCCCCATTAATGCTGATTAACAGTTAACTGGCAGACTTTGTGTCACTTTGAAACCAGACAGATTCCGGTTAGTGCATTGCCCTGCGAATCAGTGACTGACTGTCACCTGACACCTGATTCCTGAACTGCACGTAGATGTTCTTTCTGTCTGCAAAGATCAGAGCCCCTTGTATTAATATATGTAGTTTCCAGCACACCCAAGTCTGCAATGTTGCAAGCCTCACTGGCAATCCTAAATAGGTTGTCAACATAATTGTTCTCTCACTGGGGATTATCCAGAAGGAAGCTGCATATATTGATACGAAATAGCACAAATAAAGAGTACAGTTCTAAAGTGGCTGCAGGAACAGAAAGACCTGAGTTTACATGCCCATAAATCTTTGAAGGAGGCAGAACACATTGTGTGGACAATTAATAAAGCAAAGAGCCTTTTAGGCTTTATTACTAAGGACATAGAATATAAAAGTTAAGATTTTTTTTTGTTAAACATATGTAGAACAATGGTTTAGCCTAAACTGGAGTATGAAGGGGGAATCTAAGGGGGAGGTGATGGGGTAGGGTAATGTGAATGATCTAATCCAGAGGCCCAGCTAAACATTAAATTCATGGACTCAAATCCTACATGTCAGCTCTTGCAATTTGAAATCAATTAATACATCTGGGATATAACTTGTTTTGATAACAGTGACCATCAACAATGGTTGTAAAAACCCTTCTGGTTCAATAATGCCCTTTTTCTCTTTTCTCTTTTAAGGAAGGAAATCTGCTGTCCTATCCTGGTCTAACCTACGTATGACCCAGACCCAAAGCAACATGTTTGACTCTTAATGGCTTAGTAATTAAAGATGGGCAACAAATGCTGAATTTGTCAGAGACATGAACAAACGAAGGAAAAAAAATTGGCTCCACTTGTGAAGGCGTTAGCGTGTACAGAAAAGATTCCCCAGAATAACTGAATTGGTACATGAATAGAAAGGGTTTAGAGGGTATGGGCCAAATGCTGGCAAATGGGACTAGATCAGTTTAGGATTTCTGGTCGGCATGGAAGAGTTGGACTGAAGGGTCTGTTTCCGTGCTGTAAAACTATGGCTGCAGTGATAAGAAATTGTAGTTAACTTCGATAAATTGGAGAACTTATGATCTGTTCTCCTTGAAGAAGAGGATAAGGTGAAATTTGGTAGAGGTATTCAAAATGATGAGCGATCTGGACAGAGTAGAAGAGGGTAAGATCTATCTTCATTAGTGCAAAGATTGAGTACAAGGGCACAGATTTAAGGTAATTGGCAAAAGATACTATGATGACATGAGGAAAAACTTTCTCAAGCAGCAAGTGTTATGATCTGAAGGCACTGGCCGAGTGTGACGGAGATGGGTTCAATCATTCTGAGAATTATTTTTTCTTGCGACAATGTTCTGTTGCTATCCAAAGGATTTTTTTCAATTAAAGCCAAAGCTAATCGGTCACAGAATTCCTGCTATGCTAATCTCCCACAGCGACATTGAAGATACAATGGACATTTCACAGGTTTCTTATTAGAAGGGTATTAATGTTCTGTGTACGTAAAGTGTACTTCTGTTTTCATTGTGTCTATAGAATGCTGTGAAGATGGACTCTTATACAAGAGCAAGGAGACAATGTCTGACATGTTACTTAATGATTGCATTAATGCTGGAAGTTATAGTTACATTGCCATGTCGTAACTAATTGGAATAGTCTGCTCCATAATGGCATTTGAATTTGTCTGCTTTTGAGCAACTGTGTAACTAACTTCAAACTATTTTTAAACCACTTTTAAAATTCTGTATAGATAAGTGTAGATGAGAGCCCTCGTTTTTGATTTCAATAATTTTAGATCACACAAATGTTATTGAATTGTTAAAAGTACAAGTGGAATAGTTTGGGCTCCCAGTCAAAGTTTGAGGAAATCTAAACTGGGATCCACGTTGAAACCCTATGTTGAATGAACGTTCCAAGTTGGAGAGAACAAACAGAACTAGCATCATGCTATATAAATGCACAAACTGTTGACTGATCTGACAAATGATGATGAGATCTTTGCATGGATAACCCACTTGTTTTACAGAGAGAAGAAAGTTACATTCTAGGAGTTGGGAACAATTTTATTAAAACTCCCCAATAGTGTATGGTGCAGAGTTTGAATAAAATTTTACTAAGATTGTAATAGTAATAAAGTTGAGGCATAGGGTGCATATAGAAAGTAGTTAATTAATTGGTAATTACAGGGTTGTTAAAAAAAAGTACCATTTGCTACAATGCTTTCCTGCAGCAAAATCAACAACTTGTATTTTTATAAAATGTTCTAAAGTGTTTCACAGAGTGTTTCAAACTAAAATATGACTACGCTAAATAAGGAGATATTGGGGCAGATGACCGCTTGGTCAGATTTTAAGAAGCATCTTGAAGGAGAGTTCAAGAGGAAAAGAGGTTTAAAGAGGGAATTCAAGCCTTTATGACCTAGGCAACTGAAGGCATTGTTACCAGTGGTGGTGAGTTTTTAAAATTGAAAATGTTAAGCTAAAATTAAGTGAGCGGATGACTGGTTTAGAAGGTTCACTAGGTTGTTTCGGGCATGAAGGGATTTTCATATGGTGATAAAGTGAATATGTTGTGTCTTTACACATTAGAGTTTAGAAGAATAAGAGGCGACCTTATTGAAACATATAAGATTCTTGGGGAGCTTGTCACTGTGGTTGAGGAGAGGTTCTTTCACTTTGTGTCTTCTGGTCCTAGACTCTCCCACATTCTCAGAGTTAGCGGTTGCCCCCTTTGGACGGAGATGAGGGTGAATTTCTTCTGAGGGTAGTCAATATGTGGAATTCTTTCCTGCAGAAGATGGTAGAGGCTTGTCATTAAGTTATTCAAGCTGAGATGGACAGATTTTTAATCGGTAATGGAATCAAGGGTTATGAGGAAAACAGGAATGTGCAGTTGAAGACTACCAGATCAGCCATGAACTTGTTGAATGGCAGAGCAGACTCAATGGTCCAAGTGGCCTTCTGCTCCTACTTCTTAGGCTCTTATGACTGCAGATGTCTGAGGATTTTGAGGTTGATTTGGAGAGGTAGAAAGGGCAAGCCCACATAGGGATTGAAATCGAGAGTAAGAATTTTAAAATTGATGCATTGCTCAACCAAGAGTCTAAGTAAGTCAACGTTCACCATTTTGAATTCAGTATTGAGCGTGATTTTCCAACTACAGAGCAACATGCCGAAAATTACTGACCACAAAACCTACAGGTTGGTGTGGGTGTTATTGATATTGCCATAGATTAATTCCAGCATTAATAGTAAATGATTTCTTGTCCATCTGAGGAATGTATCTCTACTTGGACATGCATTCTAACTTTTGTAACATCTTCAGTTTGCTTTTTTTTTAGGATTTGCAAAGCAAACATTCATATCATTCAAAGAGACATTTGCAGAGAACTTCAAGCAAGGCAAGGTTGTTGACATTGATTTAGAAAAGCAGAATGTTATTTTAGAAAATGGAGATGTAAGTCAGAAAAGTAAATCTCATGAACATATAACCCAGTGAGGTTATTTTTGCATGATAACATGGCTTTAATCTCTTTGCTATTTTGAAGACTCTACATTTTTCCCACCTCATTTTGGCAACTGGTAGCTCAGGACCATTCCCTGGAAAATTTGCTGAACCAGTTACGATGGAGAATGCAATCCAGATGTATGAAGATCTTGTAAAACAGGTAGTGTTTAAATTTTTATTTTAAAAAAAAATCTAATCTGCAATTTCCATTCTGGCTCTATCACGGCATTTCCACTAACTGTGCAGTTTCCACGTAATCATGTGTCTTCAAACAGGTTCAAGAAGCTCAGAGAATTGTTGTGATTGGAGGTGGATCTGCTGGTGTGGAAATGGCAGCAGAAGTCAAAACAGATTACCCTGACAAAGAGGTATTGACCTGCACTGATTGTCCTGTGTATGAAAGGTTGCCATTTCATGCTATTCTATAAATTGCTCTTTAGTTTCTGCAGTTTAATTGATCTGCGATGCAGACAAGTTTGATTGAATAAAATACAACATATAAATCTGCTGCTATTACTTGGGTTGCTAAAGTTTAAATAGGAAGGTGCAGTGAATGGTGTCCATGCCTCTGAGCTAGAAATCCAGGTTCAAATTTCACCACAGGAGTTGATGGTCCAAGGAAGGATGCACTCACAATGTGACCAAACAAGTTGGGTGTTCCCTTATGAATCCTTCCCATACACCAGCAGCAGGTGGAGGAATGGGCGAGACTCCTGATCAGCTCTATACTTGGAGCCTCTGCCATCACTATCCATATCTCTGGATTACAACGTACATCTACACTAATTGTGCTTTACAGCACTTGGCACTTAGCATTCAATGTTATGGCATTTAAGGTGCTTTTCTCTGTACATAGAAAGAGGCCTTTCAGCCCAATGTGACCATGCTAACTTTTAGAATTATTTAATTAGTCTTTGTCCTCAGTCTTTCTCCAAGCCTCAATTATTAATTTTTGAGTACATAATCAGTTGTTTTTGAAAGCCCGGAGCCAGCAAGAGCTGCAGATGCTGGAGTCAGGGTCAATACTGTTTGGAGCTGGAGGAACACAGCAGGTCAGGCAGCATCAGAGGAACAGGAAAGTCGACGTTTCGGATCGAGGACCTTCATCAGGAATGATCCGAATAACTTACAACATATAAATCTGCAGCTATTATTTGAGTTGTGAAAGGTCAAATAGGAAGGCGCGGTGAGTGGTGTCCCTGTCTCTGAGCCAGAATTCCAGGTTCAAATTTCACCCCAGGAGTGACCCGAAAAGTCAACTTTCCTGCTCCTCTGCTGCCTGACCTGCTGTGTTCCTCCAGCTCCATACTGTATTGACTATTTTTGAAAGCTACCATGGAATTGGCTTTCATTACTTTTCCAGGCAGTGTATTCTGCATGTTCTATGTGTGTAAACCCATGGAAACAATATTTTCAAACTTAAGAGCAGATGCAACTATTATGATTGGGTGAGCACATTCAGGCACTTTTAAACAATCTGCTAGGAACCCTTATCTGTGGTTAACCATTTGTTTCCACAATGCATTTTTATTTATTTAAATTTTTTTTTTAGGTAACTTTGATTCATTCCAAGATTGCTTTGGCTGACGTTCAACTCTTACCCAGCGTAAGGCAGGGGTTGAAAGAAATCCTCCTGAAGAAAGGAGTCGAGCTTCAGTTAGGTAATGATGCCATTGAGAATATTTTTGAAAGGGATAAATTTCATTCCAGTCCAGTTTTTGAAAAAAATTAACTGTTTGCATTTTGGAAGAAGAGCATTGGTTTTGCCATATTGATTCCGTGCTTTGTGCATTAAAAATCTCTGTTCATTGCTGTAATTATATTTAAATCTAATACTTGGCCTGTATCTTCAAATCATAGCAAATATTAGAAATGCACAGCAATTCAGCAGCTGAACAGTTAATGTTACTACTACAGACTCATCTATAGGAATGTTTCCTACTAGTTTGGATTTCTAATATTTTGCTCTATTTACTTTATACCAGTCCCAATACACTTTTATTTAGAGTCTAAGGATATGAAAAGTTGGGATGGATGGGTCTTGTTTTCTGTCAATCATGTTATAACTTGTGAAACTTGCTGATTGAGTTTCCACAGATACAACCTCTTTAAGACTTGCTTTTGTTTAACTCCCCAAGAACTTTCTCTTTCTGTCTGCTCCCCCTTTCCACTTGGTTTTCATGAAGGTTGAATGTGCTAAATAATTTTATATATTTCAAACAAGAAATCAGATTATTTTCAACTATGAAGAAAGTTGATCTGGGGTGAGGCTGAGGGAGTGCAGGGAAAATATTGGGATGTTTGTCTGCTTTGGCATTTGTGTTTGGAGTCAAGCCAAGTTAATTTTGAACTAAACTGGATTATGTTCTTTCCCTATCTGAAACCTGTTTCCCAGATGGTTCAATTCATCTTGTACTTTTATTTTTGATAATGTGTTCTCTGGTATCTTGCCTGAATTCCATTTGGGATCAATGGTCCTCTGAACCTTGAATATTGTATTAAGTTGCTCCTGAGGACGCTCATGCTCTCCTGTTTTTTCCAAAAAGGACAGAAAGTCATCAACCTCCAGGACCTGGTGATGAATGAAATGAAGACTGACATGAAAGTACTGACTGACAAAGGATTGGAGGTCATTGCAGATTTGGTCATCTGTTGTACTGGAATAAGAGTTAATTCTTCGGCGTATTCAAATGCTTTCAGTAAGTTCTAATAAATTAAGGTACTGCTTCTATTAATCCATGCTGATAAAGCTATGTTAAATATCATTTCACATCATAAACATGATAAGGACTTTCAGACAACTTGGCTTTTCTGCACATTAAGAACTATCCTTTTGTTACATTTCCACAAGCATTCACTCCCTCCACCACCGCTCAGTAGCAGCATGGTGTACTATCTACAAGATGCACTGCAGAAATTCACCAAAGATCCTCAGACAGCACCTTCCAAACCCATGGCTACTTCCATCTAGAAGGACAAGGGCATCAGATATATTGGAACACCACCACTTCCAAGTTCCCCTCCAAGTCACTCACCATCCTGACTTGGAAATATATCATCGTTCCTTCACTGTCACTGGGTCAAAATCCTGCAATTCCCTCGCTAATTGTGGGTCAACCTACAGCAGGTGGACTGCTGCGGTTCAAGAAGGTAGCTCACCACCACCTTCTCAAGGGCAACTAGGGATGGGCAAGAAATGCTGGCCAGCCAGCGATGCCCACATCCCACAAATGAATAGAAAAAAATATATACTGTTTCTGCCTGGAAAGTCATTGACTTGAAGAAGTGGTTTAAACAAGCATCAATTTATTCTAGCCCACACATAAGTATTCGGCTTATTGATAATTATGCAAACTATAAGGAAATGTAGAATTGCTTTCTCTGTTTGCTGTCTCTTCAAATAATACTGAAAATGGCAATGCTCATTTTCAACACCTGATTGTGTCACTAATGTCAATAGGAATGTAAAATTACCACTGCTAGTGGTATCTGCAAACAAAACTGCTTTTCATTAGATTATAAGACATAGAATTTGTGGAGAGGGCTGTTGTGGCATGTCAGTAGCATCCCTACCTCTGAGGCAGAAGGCCTGGGCTCAAGTCCTATCTGCTCCAGAAGTGTGCAATAACATCGCTGAATAGGTTTATTAAAAATACCTATAATTTGGGGAGGAAGTAGTACAAACAAGGAATTGATTTGTTGGATATGTGCTGCATATTTTAGTGTCTGCGTGCAAAGGATTCTGTTTGCCCTTTACTATATAAAGGCCATCCACTTTTTTGTCCTTTTTCCTTTCCCTCTGTTTTGTATTTTTTCCATTTCATTCTCTTCGTGCAACTAGATTTATTTTTCATGTATTGAAGGCTCTATTGACGTGGATGTGCCTTCAAAATAAATAATGTGCCGCTGTGTCCTGGTGCTGTTGTTTTCAAATTGCCCAGGTGACCCTGTCTATTTACTTGCACCTCTTCATTAATAAAAGCAAAAATGTCTGAATCTTCAGATGGTCAGGCAGCATTATTGAGGGGTGGGGGAAAAAACAAAGTCAACATTTCAAGCTACTGACCTTTCCAGAACTGATGAAAGGTCATCCTCTCAAAACATTGGCTTGTGTAATTTGCTGTGGTGATAATGATGTGCTTGATATTGTTATTCCACTGAAACTGACTGACAGTTTCTTTAGGAGCCAGCATGTGCAGAATAACACAGCAGTCCAGAATGTGCTGTGAGTCCGGTTACGTTCCTCAGCAATGTTTGCTTTTGAAGATTCCCAGTCTATAATCAATTGAAAACCACCAAAAAAATTCTTAAGAACCCTGGAAGAAGGTACAGTGTGGAGCTGGAGGGACACAGCAGGTCAGGCAGCATCAGAGAAGCAGGAGAGTCAACGTTTTGGTTCAGGACCCTTCACGACTTCCTGATGAAGGGTCCTGATCCGAAACATCGACTCTCCTGCTCCTCTAATGCTGCCTGACCGGTTGTGTTCCTCCAGCTCCACACTGTATTGACTCTGACTCCAGCACTGGCAGTTCTTGATATCTCTGGAAGAAGGTACTGCATCTGGGTTTTTAAGTGTACTAACTTTGAAATGATTGCTGAACACCCTCGTGGGCCCTGATCAGCACTTTTTTAATTTGTGGAATATCAGCTTTCTCCACAATAATATTTTCTTAAAAATTCATATTTTTAGAAACCTTATTTATTATAAAGTTTGGTTATCTTTTTCTTAGCCTCTGCTTTTTATATCTTCTATCATAGTAAATTCTAGGTTTCGTTTTGCTGTCTGCAAATTGAAAGTAAAAGTGAAGGATTTTTAATTGTTTTTAACTTCCTAGTTTGTTAAATGTGACTGCCTGTCCGCTTGCTACATGCCAAGACATTGCTGTCAAAACCTGCCATTGACCCAAAATCCCAGGTGATGAACATACTATCTAAGATGGGGAAAACAGTCTGGCCCACTTTGCAGCAGTTTCTTTCTATTTTAGACTTTGCGCATCCACCATAGTTTGCTTTTGCATCTATGGCGCTTTATTGTTTACGTAACCTTATCTCATTTGCTATTGAAGAGCTGGCGAGAGACCCCCTGCTGCCTCTTTTTAGGAAGGCCAGCCAAGCTGTGGGCCAGTCAGGCTGTGATGGGGCCACCAGTGGGCCTTCCCCAGGAGTTAAGACACAGGGGGAGCGATTGCAGCCTACCAAGATCTGATGGACATTCTGAGGCTTTTGCCTCATTTACATGGCAGTATCACTAGCATAGCAGTAGCTACTGCCAGGAGGCTAGGATTGTGCTAGGAGACCCAGGATTGTGGCGTGACCAAGCTGACAGCTGAATAGCTTTGAATGGGACAGAGTAAATTCAGAGGGAGAGGGATGCAGGGGGTGGGTCTCGGTGGGAGTCTTCCCCCATCCCAGCACCATCTTTCTCTGTTGAACACTTTGCTCAGGCATTGAGTGTCTTTGAGGGACCTCCTAAGTGAATGCCCTTCTGCCTGCAAGCTCGTTATCAAAGAAAACAGTAGGTTTGTTGTGTGATGTCTCACAATATGTTAGTATACCTTTTGAGAAACATGCTCATGATATTATTGTATCATGTGGTCTGAGGATATGAAGATCTTAACTCTGGTTGCTTAAAGTCAGCATAGTCCTACTGAATCATGGGGTAGCTGTCTCATTAGTGAGAGATGACGGTCGGTGGTTTAACTTGAGGGTCATCACCCCTCAGGCGAGGGGAGAGGTTGAGAAAGAGAGTCCTTCATGGTGTCCTCCGCTAGTGCAGGAATTCAATCCATGCTGTTGGCATCACACTGCATTGCAAACCAGCCATCTGAGCTAATGCCACTCGACATGTTAATGGAAGCATGTATCTCCTTCTAATCAAATAGCTTAATGTTAGCCAAGACACTGATGTGCCTATGAATGTAATATTTGCATAAATCAATGAGCTGTAATAAACATCTGGATCTACTGATACTAGTTTAGCCCTATCAGCTGGTTATTGTTACAAGGGATAACATAAGTATTGCCACATTAGTTAAAACCAAAATACGCATTGTGGTAATGTTACGAAGGAGTGGTTGACACGTCTCTGATAGTTAAAACTGAAACCCCTGGAGAAGCTTGCCTCACCTTGTAGTCTGTGAAAGGAAATGTGAAAAGTGGTATACCTGCCTCTCGCCTCCCAATCTGTTAAAAAGGAAAGGTGAAATAAAATGAACTCCTGACAGTCACTCTGCACTCAACAAGTAACAATTTATTTATCTAACTCTATCAGGTAACAAATTAACAGAACGACTAAGAAACCAAACAATCTCCCCCTTAACCATAACTATTCCCGAATAAAACACAATTCTAATGGTATGCTGTTTCAATAGATACAAGCCCTACTTGTATAAACCAAATTAATAATTAAAAAAATTAAAGCTTAATCTCTCAAAATTACAGCCAGGCTAAGTCTTCTGGAATGTTCTTTGCTTTCTCTGCTGTCCTCCAGTCACGTGCACTCGGTTGAATGAGGTGCATCTGGGTTTTTAAGTGTACTGTTGAATTCCTCCGTCGAATTCTTATGTCTGGAATATTAGCTAAGAGTGCCATAGTACCTTTATTTAGATGGTGCTTACTCTGAGATCTTAGAGATTTCTGTGACTCCCAGTGATTTTCTCTTTCTTTAGAGCTGATGGCTGTTGAGAGCTGTTCTCTTAACAGATGGCAGTTTGCTCTTACCCTGATTTTCAAATGCCCTCTTCTTTCATATCCTTGATGACCTATTAATTTCTTATAATAGGATTGGTCTGTGTTTGTCAAAACCATCAGATTTAAATTTAAATTAGGCTTTGGTATCTAGGGCCTGGTTTAAAGTAATTAGCTAAATTCAAAAACCTGTTGTCTTGGTAAAAGTGCTTCTTTGCCTGCTAACAGTATAACCTTTTGATAGAATGTTTCAATTTCAAGAACTGTCTGTGCATATGCTACTGCCTGCAGACATTTTTTTAACTCCAAGCCTTAAAAAGAACACACCTTTTAAAGGGACCATGCACTCTTCCCTTGCCCCACCCACCCATTCCATCATTTTTCAAACAAATTCTAATATGCTGCCTTCCAATCCACAAGTACTATACCAACTTTGTGACCGTAAGCAGTGGTAACTGTCCATAAAGAAACCGGTCCAAAATATCAATGGTAGATATTTGTAAACCTCATTGAAAACCAACTTGAAAACAGTCCTGGATGTCAAAGATA